TCGTCTACTGACTTATTTAGTGATTGCATAGTATGTGCCAGGCATGTTACTGGGCTATGGTGAAGTAACAGGATAGACACAGTTTAGCTCTCGATGAACTCACAGCGTAAGAGGGATATAGACACCTGACTAGGAAATCGTAGAACAATGTGGTAAGCGCTAGGACAGAGGAAATGCAGACGGTTTTGGTAACTCATAATCCAGGCTGGCTCAGGAAGTCTATTGACTAAATGAAGCTAAGAGGTGACCAGGAATTAGTTCTAAGACAAGCAGGAAAAGCACATTTCAGGCAGAAGGAATAGCATGAATGCATTTTCTCTCAGCATAATAAAACGACCACAACCAAGCCCTCAGTATGGCTGGAGCACGGAGCGCAGTGGAAGGTGTGGGTTCGGTAACGTGACTGGAGAGGTCAGTAATCAGAGCAGGAAGGACATGGTAAGCTATATGAAGACGACGAAAAGTTTCAGAACAAGGAGGGGCTCTTGAAAATTTTAGAGTAGGAAGTGATGTGATCAAATCATAGGTTCATTCAAAATCCTATCAAAGATACTTTCTTGGGGCGCCTGGGTGGCTCAGTGGGTTAAAGCCTCTGCCTTTGGCTCGGGTTGTGATCCCAGGATCCTGGGACTGAGCCCCACATGGTCTCTCTGCTCAGCAGGGAGCCTGCTTCCCCCGCCCCCCCACCTGCCTCTCTGCCTACTTGTGATCTCTATTTGTCGAATAAATAAATATAATCTTAAAAAAAAGATACTTTCTTAATTCTAGCTATAATTAATGTATTGAATGCCATTATGATGTTAAGTATTCCATTTACCTTAGATTAGTTATTATTCACAGTAACACTGCAAAGTAGATGCTGTTATGCCCATTATGTAGGGGAGAAACTGAACTCAAGGAGGGTAATTTGCCTAAAGCCACATACCTTGTAAATGGCAAAGAAGTCAAAGGAAGATATATTTTACTAAAAAGCCCGTGTGCTTTCCAGTGAACTGGACTGTCTTCCAGGTACACTCAGTACTAGCTGTCAGATGAGGATGCCAATATTTATTTGAAACCTAACTGGAACAGGAGGAGCTTTGAAAAAAGGTGGAAAGGTGCAGCAAGCGTAGGAGGTGAACTGGGTGAGAGTGAAAAAGTTGGGTGAATTAAGTCCTTTTAGCAATACACTCCACTCTACTTAGGTCGCATAAGTGGGTTCCTATGCTCAAGAACTTGTCAGTCAATGGATACAATCCTTTCAGAATATGCAAGTTTTCTCGCACAGAGGGCATTTGATTACACTGGCAACTCCAAATAGTCCCATTTCTTAGACTGTCTGAATTTCTGGACTCATTTTAATAGGGAAAATATAAGTGTCCTACTAGAAATAAATGGTGATTGTGAACTTTTTACAGGTAATGGATAATTTATATGGGGACTTATGAAGGATAAATAGCCATTAGGAAAGTTCTAGTAAGGCAGATAGGCAATATAGGTGTCCATCTTTCATTGCCCATTTGCCATTTGTGTTTGAAATCCCTTATTCCTCTATTCTGTCTACAAACCAAAAATAGGTTCTCAAAGCAGTTTTAGTGAAATATAAATAATACTGCTGAACTACTTTTTTATTCAGTGACTAAGTTTATAGTATATGTTTGTGAATTAAGAGATATCCAGATAGAGTCAGAGTTTTCAGGGCAAGATTGTTCTTAGAAATAATTTAGTCCAGTCCCCTGTCTCCTAGATTAGGGAACTAAAACCCAGATTGGCTTAGAATCCATTCAACATCACTACCTGGTTTCCTCAACAATTGTTTCCTCCTAAATATGTGGTCGTTGTCTCTATATCACTACTAGTTACTATAACCATCAGATTTTTAAATATTAAAAGCTCATCCCAGTTATTTCTTTATGAAATCAAGTTGCAAATATCTAATTCATTCAAGTCCAGATAGTGTAGTATCAATTATCCCTTTTATAGAAAACAGACGATATCATTCTATTTCTTTGCCATTTCCTTTTTTCGGAGGTGTTTTGACTGCATTCATACTCCTATCACTGGCAGCAGCAAAGAATGCTTGAGTCAGGGAATAAGATTTGTTGAGGAAGTGTTTGATCAAAACACTAGCTCCGTGGAGAAACATATCCAGTTATTTCAGCTCACCTGGTTTGACTGCAGAGTGTTCCTTCACAGTGAGGAAATGGAGCATTTAACATCTTGCTCACCTTCTACCTGACCCCTTCATACCACACCTCTGTTGGGAGACAAAAACAAACACCACACAGCTAAGAATTCCCGAGGGCCAGGTAATCCTTTCAGAACTACTCTAACCTGATACTCCCGGACTTAAGGTGGGACTTTGTTAGTTTTTGAGAAAACTAAAATCTCCCCTTTTCTGCTTTGTTTTTCCTATGCCTTTTGCTTAAAAATAACCATCACACAATCCCAAATATTTCATATGCTTTTATAATAACTCCTTCACCTACTTTCTTTTGGAAATTATTCTTTTCAAAGAAAAATAAAGTGACAATCAAAGATTTTGTCATGGAACAGAGTTGCTGATTTGGGAATAATCGAATGGCTTTAAAGTAAAATGACTGTCTTACATTCACAAGGAAGCATCCAACTGAGACTTTCAAAGCACCCAACATCCATGGAGAGTTTTTCTAATTGCCCCACAAATGGGAACTGGGAAATGAGACTTGGAGTATGATGCCTTAAAATCCAGGGTGTAAATGAGGCCTCCTGGTGGAGTCTGAAATCATCTGGGCCTTCCTCCTGAAAAAGACCAGATAGACTTTGGCTCACATTTTTGCACTGGAGACAAGAGGCACCCCAGTCTTTAAGAGAATCCCCAACTCTCAGCATTAAATAGACCTTATGGTTCCTGATTGAATATAGCTATCACGGAGAGTGTAACTTTTTGTCTCTGGTTTTCCAGAATGTCCAGTCAGATATTAAGATTTAACAGACAGTGTTTCCGAATTTGTTCAATGAGTGGCCTTTTGGAGGTCTCTGTAATGGTTAGACATCTCATGGTCCTTGGGGAGAGAGGACTCCTTAGTATTACTCTCCCTAAAATTCCCACCAGAAAGCTCATGCTCAGTTTGCCCAACCAGGAAATGTTGCCTCAACCACAATGGCCATGAATACCATGGTGCCCTGGCATGTACTAGGGCCTGATAAATCAGATAGTATTGTAGTACTGTTGATGCTAGAACCTGGCCACATGCCTTTGAACCCTACCTCCACTACTTACTACCTGCATAACCTTGGATTTTTTTTTTTTTGGCTTGAGTTTCCTCATCTGTAAAATGGGCATAAGAGTAGTTTTCTAATGGGACTTTTTGTAAAAAGGAAATGAACTAATATGTGTGAATTGCATACACTGTGTTGGACACATAAAAATGTGTCTAACAAATGGTTCTTATCATTTTTTAAATTTTTTTAAAAGATTTTTATTTATTTATTTATTTGACAGAGAGAGATAGAGAGAGAGATCACAAGTAGGCAGAGCAGAAGGCAGAGAGAGAGGAGGAAGCAGGCTCCGTGCCGAGCCAAGAGCCCGATGGGGGGCTCGATCCCAGGACTCCGAGATCATGACCTGAGCCGAAGACAGAGGCTCAACCCACTGAGCCACGCAGGTGCCCCAGTTCTTATCATTTTAAATGTGATCATTCCAGGCGAACAATGAGACACAGAAAAAAATGAATGAATTGTCTGTGACAATTAAGCAAATCACTTAAAATTTTAGACACCAAAGGTATTCTTCAAGGCCACCTTTTGAACAATTATCTGGGGATATTTCACATGTTTTGTACAAATAGTGCTCCTGGTATGCTTTCACTATCTGTGGTTCCCCAGCGCTGTGGGGTTTTGCTTTGCTTTGTTCTGCTTCTTTCTCCTTCACAAATAATGAATATTTTTACTGTTATGATCTGTATTGATTTTTTTCTGGCACCAGTGAATAGAATACAATTTATCCTAGGACACTTGAAAATGAGAACAAACATATTCTTTTCTCACTGACTACTCCCTGATCTAATGCTCCTGCGTGGTTAGAAGTACAGAAAATTAACATACGAACCCAAGTGATTAAGTCTCCCCAGAATTGGATGGAAAAGTTATCTAAATTGCTGTTGTTGCTGCTGCTGCTAAGCCTGTGTGGAACTTGCTAGTTTTTTAAAAACAGGTCTTTAAAACAGATCTTTCAGGGGTTTTTTTGCTTTTGTTTTTGTTTTTAGGATGAACATCAAACCAAATGGTAATTACTGAGCAGTACTATATGCAAGGCACCATAGATGGGAGATTATAAGACAGGCACTCTTCAGAGAGATCGTGAGCAAGACTTCTGTTAAGCATATGCATTCATGCTTTTTAATTTTTTTCTCAAAGATGTTTAGGTTCACTTTGTTCAGAAAATAAAATATTAGTACATAAGAGGCATAGAAACCCATTTCAATTGAAACTGGGATCTAGTTTTGTGAAAATACCCAAATTCGTTCATAAAATAAAGCCTTGTTTATTAATTAAAAAAAAAAAAAAAAAAGTCCAGCTGTAAAATACTGGGGCTGGAGAGACCCCTAGCTCTTCTCTAGGATTTCAACCTACAAAAGTTTATAACCACATAACCTGCCAAAGGACTAATTCCTGAGTGGAGTTTTCCAAACTCTTACAATAGTAACATCAACCATCTCTTTAACCTCCCATGGGGAAAACTTCTGCCAAAGGAGCTCTGTTGCTGTCTCTGTTTTGCCCAGCCCTTCTCTAATCTTTTGTCATGTGTCCAAATTAAAACAAAGCCAGCCCAGTATTTTTCAAAATGCTCCATACATATTAACTCATTTAGTCTGTACGACAAGGGTGGGGGGGGAGTTCCTACTATTTTACAGGTGGAGAAACTGAGGTACTTAGAGATTAAGGAACTGCCCCAGGATGCACAGCAACAGCAGAGCCAGAATTCACACCTGGAGCACATAGCTACAGACCTTCTGGTCTCTTGCGACACCCTCCCACCCCCATCTTGCGACCGTGTTACAGGGCAGCGAGTGTGCTTGGTGGGGATAATTGAGTCACTTGTGGGGTAAGTTTTCTTATCCCAATTCTCACCTAATTCAACAAAATTGCAAGATTTTGGAAGAATAAAGTCTCACTCTAACTGAGCACTTGAATTTGATGAAAACCTTTTTCACAAAATTTGTCTTTAAGTGGCATCGCCTCTGAGAGAGAAGAAATAGTGAGTGGCCCTGGCCGAAACTGTGACATGGGTGACATTCCATCTGTAGAGAGGTGGCCCCAGAACTCCACTGTTTAGGGAAAACCCATCATGGGCTGCGTGGAATAGAAAGTGAGACCCTGAGGGGGTGGGTGGGCATCTGAGAGAAGGTTCAACCCCTCAGCTTGAGGAAGTGAAAAGTCGTTGTTATGGCTTATGAGAAGGGGGCGGGCAGTGGGGTGAGACTGGTGCAAAAAACGGAAAAGAGTGACTTAGTGTTTGGAAACTACAAGGCTGAAAGGGCACTGGGGCAGGGTGGGACGCAGAGGAGGAGATGGTCTGAGCACGATAAAAGATATTTTTGAGTAGTTAAGAATGGGGCTTCTTAAAGTTGATTTAGAAGTATTTGTACTGCTTCAATGTAAACTCTATTAAAAACTCCTCCTTAGCCCCACCCATATGCTGGGTCCCATCCATCCATCTCTTATGGGAGGAGGTGTTTGGTGGAAATCTGAGAAGGGCTGAATATTATCTCTGTGCTTAGTAGGGGTCACAGTAGGCTCCTATGAGTCCAGAAACAGAGGCAGGTTTTACTCCATGGAAATGACAGGAGCAGTCTTGGAAGTATACAGGCCTTGAAATTGTGGGATTTTGCACAAGCATCATCTAAATTTCAAGGGGCAGGGTGGCCCTAGCTGTCATGGAGATGACATGTCTCTTAATCTTGGTGTACTCCCTCTCCCGAAGCACCCAGAATTCTCATGAAGCCACTTATTCAATGCACCGAAAATTTAGCTTTACAACTTTCTTGACTTAATGGAGAATTAATTCATTGTCTATTGTTGATATTCCATAACTGCATATTCTCTTGACCCTTTTTCATGGTTGCTTTTTTTCTTCATTACTGAGAGAGAGAGAGAAGTGGGTGCGGGGGGGAAGGGGAGTGTGCTCATTTTCACTGGTGAGGCTGTCCTCTGAATCTTTTCATTTTTTTTCTGGAAATGACCTGGGGCTTCTTATGCACAAACACCGAAACCAAGTAGTCATATTATCACTGTGTTCCTAACCTAGAGTCTCTTAGTATGGGTGTGGATTTGCATAACAGGGAAACTAGCACTGACCTGGTACAAATGCTAACTGAATGATCATAAAAATTCAAGGACAATGCTGCAGTGTTACAAAGACATATGTGTGTGTGTGTGTGTGCGTATGTGTGTGTGTTTCTCTAACTCATCTAAACATATTTGGCGATGGTTACAAAGTTCATGGCAAAAACGGAAAAGAAAAAAAGTTTTGTGTGAATGGATAAAGAAAATGCCTCCTTCTTCCAGGGAAGTTGGTGACTCACTATATGACAACGCATAAGTCACCTGGTCTCTATGTTCTGTCCTCCACCTTTAAGACAGGGACTGAGGCGCGCCTGGGGGGCTTAGTTGGTTAAGGTCTGCCCTCTGCTTGGGTCATGATCCCAGGGTCCTGGGATCAAGCTCTGCATCTGGCTCCCTGCTCAGCTGGGAGCCTGCTTCTCCCTTCTCCCTCTGCTGCTTCCCCTGTTTGTGCTTTCTCTCTGCTAATAAATAAATAAATATATAAATAAATAAATAAATAAATAAATAAATAAAATCTTAAAAAAATAAAATAAAATAGGGGCTGAAACACTTGAGAACGTCACGACTCCACTGAAGATACCTCCAAAATACACAAGTGTCATGTAATAAAGTGCATGTATCTGTGGAAGGAAGGATTTGAGTTTGGAAGAGGAAAATTTATGTGAAAATGGACTTTTGAGATTCTATGATTCTGTTTGAAAAAGTGAAAGCAAACTCATGCTTAACAACAAAACTAAGAGAGAAACCTCAGTTATTCTGAAAAAGGAGAGATTGGACTAGGGGAAGGAGTGGGGAGAGGAAAAACAAAACATGCTAATATTCGTCAAGGAAAGTATGTATGAACTTTATGTACTTTTCTTTTATTATTTTAAGAGAATTGCTAGACCACGTTCCAGCTCCTGCAGCCGAAATTCACTGTTAATTCACATCTCCAGAGACACGTGTGTGGTTGGGACAGTTCTGTGCTCAAAGCACGGGACTGGCAGATAAACCTGATAAGCAGATGAGACGCTCAATGTCTTTTTCTTTTTGTCTTTGGCAGATACTCTTTTAAAAGAATATGTAAAAAGGAAGGGAAAAAATAACTTAATCAGGTCTTTCTTTTTTGCCATTTGGAATACTCTGTATTGTAGAAAATAGAAGTTTCTGATATTGGTATACACTTATTCAATTACACAAATACTTTCTGCTTGCTCACCATCAAAATGAGGAAACTGCTTGCCCACAAATTCTCTAAAGGAAGATTCAGAAGAAAAAGGAATTGTAGTTAATCCTTTCCCAGGTCACGCCTAAAATAGGTCTCTGCTAATAGGGAAGTTAGTTGCATTTAAAATTTAAAAATACAGTTTAGAATGTGTTGAAGGAATCACCAGTGAAAGACTAGAGTCAGAAGTTCAACCTACGTTTAGGGGATTGAAATCTCAATTATAGAATATATTTTCTAAACTATCTCGAAGGGTCTGAGAGCTTCTATTAGATATTTCCAGAAAAATAAAAAATATAAAAGACGGTCCTTGGTCAAGTAATTCTGGGGAAGGCTGAGTTAAAGAAAGTTACTGCCTTCTACATAATTTTGGATTATTTAATAGACTAATATATATTATGAGTTTCCAAGAGAAGGGTGTACATAGTAAGCAGCAATTCTCAAAACATGAAACTTTTTGGCAGTACAAAATAATATCTCATATGTTTTAAGACAAACAGGTTGGAAAATCCTGGCATGGAACAACATTGCCCTTGAAGATTTGTCTATGTGTTCTGGGTACTTTATGTCATGTTAACAACATCTAAATACCTTGATAGTGTGCTCACTATACAATGACCATCCATTTTATTTACTTCTAGTCACATATTAGATTTAACATTTATGCCTAGATATCCACACTTCAGGACACATACATATGAACATTAGCAACTCTGCTTTGACGTGCAGGGACGGGCTGTGAACCCAAATTTTCGAAATCCAAATCTAGTTTTATAGACAAGGCTAGTCACAGTGCGTTGAAAGCAGTGGCATTAAATTGCAGCTCAATATAAAATTAGAAAACATTCTTTTGTGCAATGGGTACATGGTGTTTCAGAAAGTCGCTCTATTCTTTTCCCTCTCAAAGTACAACTTTACATTTGGAAAAGTCTGCTTTGCTTTCATAATGTGAAATCTTAATTATTTTCTAAACAGCCTTATTTCTCTCCACTACTTTTCAATTTGGAGTCCTGACGTTGTCCAGTTGTGTTTGACAGCCCTGTTGGCTGTGTGTGTGTGTGTGTGTGTGTATGTGTGTGTGTGCACCTATTCCATACATCTATTTTTTGATGTCATTTCTACACTCCATATAGGAGGACTTTAGCCAAAGGAGAGAGCATGAGGTTTGCTACTGCCTGCTTGTTGTCTCTTGGTGGTAATAACATTCTGTCTCAACCTAGTTAAGGTATGCTGGAATTTGTCACTTAAAACTCCAAATCTCCATATAAGCAATAGATGATCAAGAAGAAAAGTTGAAGGGATACAGGGACTTTAGTTTCATGAACTCCAATAATTCCCAGCTGGGAGAATAATGGGCAAAAATATCGATTTGTCAAGCAACAGCTACCAGAAGATCCTGAGCTAACTATTGTAAATAATTGTTCTTTAGAAACAAAAGAAAGCCAAATTTATAAGGAAGGGAAGGAGAAAATAAGCGCAAGAGAGGACATGTTCATCTTATTCCTAAGTTATGGTATCCAGAACATGAGGGAAACAGAACAGTTGTACATTATGGCAGGAAGACTGCAAATGAAATTGGCTCATTCATAATTTTCATCATATTTTCCAGAATCAAAATTCAAGGAGAAAGTTTATTCCCACCGTATGGATCTTTCTCCTTCTGTTGAGTTTTGTCTTCCCTGACAACCATGCGGAAAGCTCTCTGGCATAGGCGGTGATACAGGCTGCGGGATGCGTCTCATCAGTCATGTTGAACACACCCCACGGCAATTACCATTCTGATTCAGGGCAGGATAAAAAGAGTTCAGTGCACAATGTGGTGTTTAGGGAGGTGATCTGGAAGCATTAACCATACAACTTTGGCAGAAACTGTTTTGTGAATGTGTCAGTGATATCTCAAGTACATGAAAAACCAGCTTTACTGTCCCTTGATATGAGATTAATTTTTTTTTTCTTTTAGAGCATTTACCATTCTAAGGTGGGACAAATACTATCCCTGTTTCTCAGCTGTAGAAACTGGAATGCTGAAAGGTTAAGCAACGTTCACGAAGTTCCACAGTGAGTCATTTTCTGAATCGGGAAATAAATTGGTGGTTAACATTCCCTTTTCCCTGATTCCACCAGCCAGCAGGAGTCATTTAACACTATTTGCAGAAGTATTTTTCTTTATTGTCTTGCAATGAGCACAAACAGATTTCTCTGAGACTTAAAAATTACGAAATGTGACATATTTGAGGGAGCAGTAGAATTCAACCAACAACATTAATTCACACAACAAGTTTCATTTAGCATTGGTTATGTATGGGAACTGAAAGTTTTCAGTCCTAATTTAAACTCTACCCATGATTTGGAAATGTGCACACATCTCTTTGCCTCTGGTAAAACAGGGATAATTATCCTCACCACAGATTTCATTAAGAAGTTATATGATTATATTACTTTCTCTGTCTTGAACTCAATGGATGGAATCAGTATCACTTTTTTAAATGATCTTATCACTCTCCTTTTTTCTAGTACAATTTGGTTTCTTATGAAAAAATTTTTAAAATATCTAACTTTAGCGTACGTATTTAAACTTGTCAAAACGTTTCAGAAGGATGTGCCATATTACTGTAATGAACACTTTTATATCTATTGTTATATCCAGTCCCTGTGACAACCACTTGGGTACTCTTACTAGTAGGAAATTATGCCTAATGAAAAAATTCAACTTTGTTCCCTAATGTTTCTTGGGCATCACCCCATTAACATTGCTACCCTCAATATTATGTCTACCTTCTATTTCCAGCTCTATTCTTTACCTGGCCAGAAATCCCAAATTAGATTCATTAGCACAATGGGAACTTTGTTTTTTTTCTAGGTTGCTGGTTTTAAAGGAACTTTACTAAATAATAAGGAAAAAAAGTTAAAAAGGACACAAGGATGGAAAAGACAAAAGCATAAGGGAAGCCTCATTTACACACTGCAGATTTCTGATTTAACTATTACAAATTACAAGTTAGGCCTGAGAAGATCCCAGATGTTAGCCGTGGTAGTAAAAGAGAGACAACCTCCCAGAAAGACAGAGCTGGGGCAAATGCTGAGCGGCTTGGTTCCCCACCCATCTCACCTCCGAGGTTCTTCCATGGCTATGGGTTTCTAGATAATGGTTTCAGTAACGAAAAGTATTTCCTTTGTAAATTGGTATTATTGTCTTCATTTTACAGAGGAAGAGAGAAAAAGAAACTCAGAAAGGTATATAACTCATTCTAGATTGTATAAGCATGAATGGGTAAAGCTTGAATTTAGACCCATTTATGTTCTTCCTGCTGCAGGTAGCAGTGTGCTTGTCATATTAGTGATGTGGCCAGTCTGGAAGACTGCAGGGCACTCCTGGGCACTCAAGTGCCACGACCACCAGCTAGCTTCCAGTGGACTCTGAACAAGTCACTCTGCTGAGCTTTAGATTGGGAAATAGCCACAGGTGACACCCTACCAACAGGTAAAATAATAACTAAGACTGCCTTTTTTTTTTTAAAGCAATTAAAAGTCATAATTTTTTTTTTAAAAGGGAGGATATGATGGGCATAGTATCTCATTAAAAAACTTACATATAGTAGTATCTTCCTCTAAACTCTCATGTGTCCCTTTCTCAAGATGATGAAATGTCCTATATATGATAAATTCTCCTTATTTGTGGCATTTCCGTCCAATAACATTGCCAAGAATACTAATCCATTGCTCCTAGGGAGAATACAAGGTTAGGTTCCTACAAACTTCATTGCATTTTCATCAACCAATTAATATATATCCTTATTTTTTGGTATGTTTCTGTTTAAAGACATCTTGTTTAATATTATTGTTGATTCATTAACATTGAACTTACAGCCAATAGCACTATAACCCTGGTTAGAATGAAGCTTATCTAAAACATGTACTTTCTCCAGAGGCACATCATAGCCCTCTTGCATTTAGGAACGGTAGATGGCCCTTCATCACTATGCTTGTGGGTTGGTCAAAACACAGAAATGTAGAAAATGTGACACTAAATAGATCACAAAAAGGATGCATATTTATAAAATGACAGCTGCTATAAGAAGGCAGGATATCACTTTTTTCCACCTCAGCTAGGGATACACTTTTTGGGTAACTCACATTTGTCCCTGCTCTGCACACGTCCAAAAGTGATCACAAATCACTGTGAGTACTGATTTTTGGATTACAAATAAATTTTAGTGGGGAGGCAAATTCATAAATATGGACTCTGAAAACAATAAGCATCAACTGTAAATGCAAACAAACAATACAAAATGAGTCTTAATCCTGTGGACACTTATATTCCTATCCACACTGAGAAATCAATGGACTAAATCTTTATAGTGGGGAGTTTGGTGACCAGTGATTAACATAATGGTCAACCTTACTTTGCTCTCACCATTTCAAATCTGATGATGCATTTTCTACTAAAGTTCTAAGGATAAACCAATTGAAATATAATGATTTTTAAAATTAATGTGTTGCAGAATTAAATCACTCAGAGTGATAACAAAATCAGTGTTAGCAATAATATATGATAGTAGGGCCAAAATGGAAATGGGAGAGAATTGGAAGATGGTTTTGCATTTATGCCAGACTTTGATTTCAACATAACTGTTGCTGTCCTCCCACTAGCTTTTTCATACCAAGTGCAATAATCCCACGCAATCCACATGATGCTCAGTGGTATTAAGTGAAATGACAGAAAAATAAGTGGGAAAACAGCAGGGTTATAGCTCCCAATGACTTGGAATTTATACTTAGAAGACAAGTAGTAAAATCATATAATGGAGAAATTTGGAGCACAGTAAATCTGGTGAGTTATTAAACCGTGGCCATCACAATTTGGTTTAATTATCAAATGAACTATTTTCTTTTTCATTAAAAGTCCATGCAAAATGAACATCAGCACAAATCACATATTTTAGCTCTTTGATATTCTATGGATTGTAGCATGTATGATTTATCTTGTAGAATTCTGGCATCAGTTTCAAGAATGATATGAATGTGTTTTAGGGGATAAGGAAAGGGCAATGATAAAATTAAATATATTGTGTAGATACAAACTGATCACAGTATAAGCTAATAGTACGAGAAAGAGTTCATATTAGCACTGGGATTATGGTCAACTCTATTTGAATTGCTTAAGGTCTATTGGGAATCTGCCTGCCTTCAAGCCCATGAAATTTGAAGTTCAAGAAAATTAAATTCATTTATAGCAAAAACATTTTTCTCACAATTTTTTAACCAATGACTATTGTGTTAGAAATTGATTCCATATGTTTTCAAGTCATTTATGCAACTTGAATAATTAAAATGTTCATTGGAAAGAACTGCCTGATGTCTTTTAAGTCAGGAAATTATCTTATGCCAAAAGCAGACAAACTCAAACACCAAAAGGTCAAGCTAAGTTAGAAATTTCGCAACATCCCAAAATGTAATTATTCTTAAAAAATGTAAATGATTGCTAACCCTTCCTAATTGTCACATGGTAGAAAAACAAGGAATTCCTTTATTCTCTCATGTTGTTTCTTTTCATTTTTGAAAAATATTTCCCTATGAATCTTTCTAAACTTACCTCCAAGTTATTTGGATGAGAGCCTAGACTATTTTTTTTTTAAGATTTATTTATTTGAGAGAAAGATAACGAGCAGGTGTACAAGACAGGGGAGGGGCTGAGAGAGAGGGAGAGAATCTTAAGCCTACTGAGAGCAGAGCCTGAGGCAGCTGGATCCAACAAGGAGATATGACATGAGCTGAAATCAAGAGTCAAATGTTCAACTGACTAAACCACCCAGATGCACTGAGCCTAGACTATTAATGACATTTGCAATATAATCTTGTCAGCTTTTTACAAAATAATAAATTAAATTAGTAAATGCTTGTGATTAATTTCTAATGAAAAATAAAGCATAAGAGTGAAGATATATTTGTTTCAATCATATCTAAATAACTAAAAGTTACAATTATTGTTCCCATTTTGTAGATTTGGGAATCAAGGTCTAGATAGAGTGAGTAGCCTGTGAAAAAAACATCCTAACTGAATAAGTTAAATTTTGCCTGAAAGACTTCAGAAATATTTGATGAGAGGCATATATAAAGTAGATAGCTAATAAATGTAGCCTTAATGAAATATTAACCCAAGATTAATCTATTTACTTTTTGTGTATGATAACAAGAGCATGGAACTTGGAGAAAAATATGAAAATGAGGATTACTGAGAATTTTACAGTGTTTGTAGCATAAAAATGATTAAATTTGGAGTTGGAAGTCTTACATTCACATTCTGACTCTTCCACTTATTATTAACTCTCTGACCTTTGGCAAGTCATTTGATCTCCAAGTCTCTTGTTTCTTTATCAAGTGGGAATAATGAGAACTTATATGTTTATACAGATAAAATAAAATATTAATATAAAACTATTTTATAAATTAAAATATACATGTTTAAAGTAATAATAATAGTAATACTACTATAATAATTATAATAATAGAGAAACAAGGGGGGAGTTCCTATCTATAATGAAATAAAAAATCAAGGAATTTGAGCCCATGTTATTTGCTTATTGTACTTGTTTAATATTACAGTTTAATTTTTCCTCATCGTTATGAAATACAAATTTTCCAAAACATAAGATGTAAATTATTTCAAAAATCGTTTTTGAAAAAAGTATAATAATCGTTACTTCTCCATCTTTGTATCATTTTTACAAAAAGAGATAGTCCTTGCCTTATCTTGCTTGTTCTAAATTTAAAACTTCTTTCATACCTAAAAAAAGTAATTAATAATATGGACAATGGCCTTTCAAATAAAGTGTTCCTTCAGGGGAAAAAAAAAAGGGTTTGACTGAAGAAAGGAAGAAAACAAGTCATTCAATTGGAAACCAGCTGATACCTGCCAGAACAATCCATGGGAATCACCCCATTGGTGTGTGTATTGTGTTTATGCTATAATTAAAAACAGATTAAAAAGAACTAGAGCATAGCACCTCTGATTGCTATTCTCCTTCATACTCAAGAACAAGAAAGCCAGGGTGTTAAATTTAGCCAGTGGCACTCAACTAAGCACAATCTGTCTAGCCTGGACTGTGGGCTAGGAATGATTTGACAAATAGGTAGATGGTTGTAATAAAATGGGGGGGGGGGGGTTAAAATGTTGATTTTTTTTTTTTTTTAGGCCAGAAATGCCATGCATAACTAGGAAACTTGAGACAGTCCCTTCTCTCTCTGTTTTCTCTTAATGTAGTGGCCTGACCTATAGAATTGGTAATTCCGAATATATTGGGTCTTTTCACGTGCCTTATTGAGGTTTCAGATACTATATTTTCATTCTCTCGAAGAACGTATGACACTGTACAGGGGCCCTGCTAACCCTTAAGTCCCAGGGATTGTAAAACCTTTTCCCAGGCTCTGAAGTGTTAGCTGCCTACCATTTTCCCTGAATAGGAAAGCTACTTCTCTGTTCTTTGTTTTTTCTCTCTCCTCCTTTCAAAATGAGTTCCATTGTGTTTAACCAGAAATGGGGTTTTGCGGCAATTAAAAGATTCCAAAGTGGCAGAGGCTAACCCACCAGTAGAGCAGGATTCCAGACTTCCATGGTAACACCCAACTTCCCTTCTCTAACCACCTCCTCTAGTCCACCCAGACAATTCTAATCCTACTTCTGTGGTTACTCTGAAAAGGCATCCAGTTTGCTTATCAGAAAGGATCTTTCTTAAACAAATATTTACCAATGTCTGTTTTACTCTTTCGGGAGTGAGCAAAGGAATGGCTTGAGTCTCTTAATCCCTTTGGATCATGAATTGCGTAGATGATGATAGAATGTAGTCAGGGCTACTAGCATCGGAACCCAAACTGTGCAGAAACTGACACTTCATTGCCTTCATAACTGTAAACCTTAAGTGGCTTGGTTAGCTACTCATCACATGAGTGATGCTTATTCCTTATTGCCATCCACTGCAAGTTCCTTTCTCTGTATGGCAGAAATCCAGGGACATTCCATGAGAGTTATGGCATTTTCCTTTTACAATAATGGGCCTTACCTTTCTCTTGCTTCCATGAACTCTGTAAATGTCAAAGCGATTCACATGGGAGGAAATGATCCTATAGTCCTCATTGAAAAGTTCAAAGATACAAGATCTTTTCTCTCATGTGGTGGTGCAATACTTATCTTTTTGGTAACGATGCACTACATGCTTATTAACAACATGTTATCAATCTACACGTGGTCATGTAGTCTGTTGCATAAAAAGGCATAAAGAATTATAATCTTGGGAGAAAATTATTTTCCTATCTGTTTCAGGATCCCCTGAACTATTGTGAAGAACATCCCAGAAAAGAGTTAATTCTCTGTGTCTT